TGATTGAGTGCTGTGATGATGTGACGTGGTCGGTGAAGTGAAGATTTCTCCTATATAGGATTTGAAGAATTGAGGAGTTAGGGTTTTGAGGTGGTTTGGAATCCTGTGGTTTATGAGATTTTATATTCAGATTAGAGATAGAAGATGGATATCGATGATGTAGATGATGTTCCTCGTTTGGTCCTCTGAGTTGTGCAGCATCCGGACGTGTCTCTTTTTGGACTAAAAGTTCAGATTGCAGAGAATTTGTTCTCTCAGTGGCTTTCGCTTCCAGACACTTGTCGATTGGTACTTTTTGTTCTAATTTCTCATTAAGTCCTTCACATTTCTATTCTTGTGTTCTTGCTGTTTCTTTATGAACTCTCTGTAAGTGGTTTCGTTTGTGGTTTGATTGCTCTGTTAGAAATGGTGCTCGACTCTGTCATTTAAATTTCCTTTAGTCTGCACGAGGAAACTAGACTGAAAATGGGAGGGCAAATGAAGTGGCAAAAAATGATACACAGTCATGCTAGTTGTTGAATAGAAACAAGGATGTTGATGGTAGAAATGAATATGGATTGGATGAATATACAGTTTCTTGTATTGGTGAACTTTTTTCTTTTCTTTTGCTGTTTGGTGTTGATGTAGGTGAAATCTTTGATTGATGATGCAAAGGCAGGGATTCCCATTACTGCTTCTGGGAACTCTTTTAATGCTAACGTTTTTGGGAACAATGCTGTGCCTTCCATGTTTTCTGCTGGCAGCACACCTCCACTCTCACCAAGAAGTTCATCTGGGTCGCCTCGCACATCAAAGCAAAGAACCAGCCCTTCATCTTTAGGTTCTCCATTAAAATTAGTTAGTGAACCAGTGCGAGAAGTCATACCTCAGGTTTGACTCACTTCTGACAGTTGCTGTCGCAAGATAGTCATAATTAAGGTTTACTTGTTAATTTGGAAGTCTGGTTTTATCATGACAATAATGCAATGGATTTCAGTTCTTATAGTGTTGTATTGTTAATGCGCTTGCAGTTTTATTTCCAAAATGGGCGTCCACCCACGAAGGAACTGAAGGAACATTGCCTTTCTAGAATTAATTACCTGTTTAATAATCCTTTAAATGGGTTGCAAATAGATGGTAATATTTGAAATCCAATTTATAAATATACCTTTTATATATTGCAAAGGTTTTGGCTCTAAGATTTAAGCAACGTCAAAGATGGATGTCCCTACGAAGTTAACATTTCTCCTTTTCTGGATGTGCAAAGTTAAATCACTACAAAGAAGTGTGCAAGCTACCATCCTTCTCTCTTCTGCACTCTTCATATGATAGATACTGACTGCATTG